TGACACCCTTGAATGGATCCTCTTCACCATTTGTCATTTGAACTTTGTTGGTCTGGATCCATTTCGTCAGGTGGTATTAGTAAGGTATAAAAAGTTTATTGAAGTCGTTATGGTGATGGACAATGATTTATCCCACTTGTGAAATTGCCAGTTATAGTCTCTCATTGAAACTCGTGATTACAACTTAGCACTATCACTCGATCTACCACACATGTAATAAACTTTTTATATGCAACTTTAGATTATCTGTGCGTCATAGCACGGCCATAAAAAATGCATGAGAAGCGCCAGCTTCAGGAAAACTCTTGACTGTCTCTAACATTCATCATCCTCTAGGCACATTCTTATCTTTTCTATTTGTGTTTCATCGTGAATATGTGTCTATGTTTGTGTATATGTATACGTGTGTGTATGTGTATACGTGTGTACGTGTGTATGTATGTGTGTGTGTGTGTGTATGTATGTGTGTGTTTTGAGTTTGTGTGTGTTGATCAGTGCGTATAAGCACGAGTGAGCAAGCAAGTGAGTGAGCGAACGACAGACAGACAGACAGACAGACAGACAGACAGACAGACAGACAGACAGACAGACAGACAGACAGACAGACAGACAGACAGACAGACAGAAAATCGAGAAGGGGATTAGAAAGAAGGGACGGGGAAGAAAGAAAAGTATTCCTTGTTATTTCATAATTTTCGTTTACTCAGAAATGACTCTTCGTACATCTCTAAGATCGTAGCAAAATAAACAAGCAGACAAACCAACAAACAACCTCATCAAGGGAAAATAATTGAAGGTTTTCGGCTGGTCGCCATACGGAAGAAATGGTCCGGACGAACACGTTCCGCTGTTACCATCAGAATGTCCGGGCTAGATTAGTAGAGACAGTATCGTGCTATGAGCTGCCAAGATTTTACCTTTGGTTTCTCGAGCACGTCCTTGCGTCACGACGCGGTGGAATCAGGCGCTCGTCAATGTTGCGTTAATTTGGGTTATTGGTATCATCTTAAACCTTTTTCATTTGTCTACCTTCGTGTGAGGAAATACCCATCTATCTTATATGTAATTTGAGATAATTGCGATTGTAGGAGATGGGGCTCTCCTGGTTTCAGCAGTAAAATTAGCAAGAAAATGGCCGCCAATGTTTGGTGGCTTATATTGCTACTAGAGAGCCCTTGGAAACTAAAAATTGACGTTTTTCTGAAAAATAAAAGAACAACAGTTTTTTTCAAATGGACACAAAGGGTGTTGATTTTTAAAAAGGAAGAAAATTAGGGAAAAAATTGCCTAATGCCCAGAAAAAAATGACGGTTTCTTTTATTTCATTATTTTGACGAGCGCCTGATGTCACCACGGTGCCGCACATTTGCTCTATGTTAGCCCCTCTCTTTTTAGGCACGTATTCTCAAACTAGAGGCGTTTGGCCGCTCTTAACAAGTGCGTTTATCCCGCCTTTTTTCTGTTTCACTTTTGTTCATACATGCCTTAATGGTGAAATGTGTGTATATGTGTGTGTGTGTTTTTATGTGTATATATATATTTGGGATGGATGTGTGTGTGTGTGTGTGTGTGTGT